TACCTTATAATGGCTGCCAGTACCACTAAGGCATTCACTCATAAAGATGTGGTTTATATGTATACACACACACATACACAAACGCACGCACTTGGAGCGGGGGATGTTCTTTTAATAGTGTTAGGAAATTCTGCAGATGTCATTACGAACATGTTCATACTGGCTCTGGTTCTTGGCAGACTAACCCTTCCGTGCTGTTCAGCTGGAAAAAAAAGAGCTTTCATATCCCTTATCCTGCTCGCAACTTGCTGACCAAGGAAAAGGAGGCACTAGCAGAAAAAAGTGGGAATGCCCCAAGATTTTTGTGCCATGCTTTTACAGGTGCAATTTCTGCCTTGGGGCCTTTTTGTCAATGACCTGAGTCTATTTCATTCAAGGTCAGCTGTGTGTTGAGCACACTGGCTTTGCCCAGGAAATGTGCTAGAAAATTGGACTGTGGGTAGGTCAATAGCAAGTCTTAGTTGTCAGTGAGAGACTTTTTCTTTTCCATAATGGAACAGTTGATTTTTTTTTTTTTTAATTATCTGACATTTTATGCAGTTTAAGAAAGTAGGCAAAACAAAAGGAGAACATTTCATAATAGTCTGACATGTGCACTGACAAGCACAAGTGCAGTTATGGACACCTTGCAGAGTTTGTAAGAGGGAGTCAGTAGCTATCACTTCAAATGCAAGAGCAGAAACAACATTGTGCCTAGGGGGAGAGGTAAATGCATTTTTAACATCATGGGACAACCACTGAGCGTACTTTGCTGCGCACCCATTCCACCCCGGTCTATGCCTCTGCTATAGTTCACTAACTCTTTTAGTTTTGCTCAAGTTGTACCCATATGGTTTGTAAATGCACCTTTGCTTTTGAGTAATAAATGACACATGGCTTCTTTGGCAGCTCAAGGCTTGACTTTTCATCTTGACACTCTTGGGCATCTGGCGGATGACAGATGATAGATTTAGACAAACAGTAAAAGCTACAGAGTGCCTTGCATGTGTGTTTATCTTAACTTTGTAACACGGTCCAAATGTTATTTAACTTTATGTGTTTAAAGGAGACCAATTGGGAATGGCATTCACATACAGTAGGACAGCTGATGCTGTTGCTCTAATTACTTGTTTGGTATAGTTACTAGCAAGTTTATAATTTCCTGAGCATGACTGGGTCTATTGAATTAAAGCAGGGTGTTTGGAAACAGGGAGAAAGAGGAAACCAAATGGTAGCTTAACAATAGGCAGTAAATGTAAACCAGAACGTATTTACTTGACACATTATTTTAGGTGGGTTGAATTTAGTTTTGGGGGCTTGCTTTTTTTTTTTTTTTTTTTTAAGGCTGCCATTTTCTTTGCCAGATAGCTTCTAGGAACAAGATCTTTAGCACGTTTTCTAGACTGAAGGTAATGCTGCTATTTTCTGTGAAATGCTGAGTTGTTAAATGCACAGTATTGCAATGTGTTAGAGGGATGGGAATTCTTTCTTTGTATGTATTAGAAAATACTCCTTTCCATTAGTCAGCGCACCTTGTACTTATTTTTCTTTGCAGTAAGAGATGTCAATCCTTTATATTTTGCAGGAGACATTACTTTTGAAGAAGTATTTGTTATTATTTGTTTACAAAAACTTAGCATGGAAAGGTAAATTTGGGTGGAAATGGCTGTTCTTTTTAAAGCCCTGTCATTACTATTAAAACCTAAATTGGTGTTTATTATTTTTAAATACTGCATTGCAGAATTTCTAACATCCATTGGCATGTTTTCATCAGGACGACATTTTGTTCCAAAAATGTATTCACATATCTGTTTCTGCAGCTCATTTTTCATTATTAGTACAGCAGCATAGGTATGCATCTAAAGAAATATAGACACATTCTCTGTGCAGAGAAGCTAATAATTCAAGGGTTGGTCCTGCAAAATTTACACAAAGTACAATTCTACCCTGCTGTGAAAAGGTTTTCACTGCATGAGTGGGACAAATCATTTTGTACTGCTGTTTGCAGACAAAACCAGCTGATGATGACAGCAGAAAAATGACAGGTGGACTGTTATTGATAGGATATTTTCCTGCATGCATATGTTTTTGAGAACTTTTTTTACAAGATTTTTTTTAAAGAGTGGAAGATAGACTTTTAGACAAAATATTAAGATAGTTAGATTTCATTTTTCTCCTCCTTGGGTTACCCTGAATTGGTTTGATTACCCTGAATTCTCATTTCTTCTCTCTTGGTTGTATTAGTGGGTTACTCTGAATTTCCCATGGGGTATTGATTTGGCCAAATGTAGTTACGTAACACTGGCTTTCGCGAAACACATGTAAAGAAGAAAAATGTAAAATTCTTCAGATAGCAGATACTTTTTTTTGTGAAAACTCATCAAAAAAAGGTTTTGATTGAATATTTTGGCATGTTCTGGAGGTAGAAGTGTGTCTGTATGATATGCTTTTTTGTGTGTATTCTACCTGCCTGTACATATATTAACATTGTTGGGGTGTGCGTGTATGTAGAAGAGAGAAGTTGTTTTTTAAGGGCAATGTAGGACCAGACAGGAATCTGTACCTGACTCTGAAACAGGTCTCAGAATTGACGGACAAGCCAAAAATGACCATAGAGGAGATGGAAGATGAAAGCGAATAATAGAATATTGCTGGGAAGAATGATCTAATTGCAAGAGATGATGGGATGAAACCAAAACACAACCAGTAAAAATCAAGCAAGAGCACATTAAAAAGTAGAGAGCCAGCGTATCTTTTGCGTAATCCTCCATCCCATTCCCCAGAAGCATACAGAGGGCCCTAATTTCTGGCTCCCTGAGCTGCTGGGATAATAAATCAGTGAATATGCATGCAATAATCTTTCCATTTACCCTTCCTTTTGTCTGTCTCATCAGATGTTTTCGGAATGGAGGGGTAAGAAGTAAAGATATGCAAAGGGAGATGACTAGACAGTAGAATGAAAGAGAAGTGGTTCGTAAACCAGTTCCAGCCCCATGAAGTTGCAAAACACATCCCACTGGCTTTGGGAGGCTCTGAATCAGACCCTGCTGCTGAGAAAAGCAGGCAGAACAAGAACCCCAAACGGAAAGGGGGTTTTGGATTCGCAAGATTTCATAATGTGGGGAAGGAGAGCTGTAACACTTCGTAAAGGTTGTCTTAAAACAACAAAAAATGTCACTATTTTGCATCTTTTTGTTAGTGTAGTAGCTAAGATCAACTAAAGGAAGTGAAAGAAGTTGAAAGAGTTACACTTCCCGGCTGGTCAGACTGATCTTGTCTGGAGAATGTGGATTTCATAATACATTTAACTTGGCACCCTGGGATTTTTTTCTCTGCTTGAAATGTCTTTTTAATGAGAAGTTGCATTTTGGAGACATAACCTTATGTAAACACTAGCCAGGAGAACTTGATATTTAACTTACTTTGCTGGAGAGAAGAGTCTCTCCAGGTAGTATACTTTTATTAAACTCACAAAATTAAATGCATCAATGTTTGAGAACTCAAGCCTGGATTGTGAACTGTGAGGGGTTTTTGTCTTACATTGATGTAGGTTCAGTTATGCTTAGCGCAAAAAGCCCTAGCAAAACCCCTCTGAGCATCTGGATTAAATGAGTCTTTGGATTGCTAGTTGTTTAAGCTTGACCTGGTAGATGTCTTTATGTTGTTTGTGGTACACAATTGCACTCTGTTTAGGAAAAAAAAAAAAAGACCAAACAAACAAACTCCTGCCATGGCCAAGCAATTAATTCATGCACAGAAAGTGGTGGTTTATGCCTTGTAACATTAATGTATCATACACAGGGGTGGGCCTACCCAAAAACCGGGTAGATACTACATGATGAGTTGCAAGCAAATGAGGTATAAATGAGACTGTTAACGTAATTATAACTGAGAAGGATGTCCCATGCTTTGAGAGAATGTCATGTAAGAAAAGGTAACACAATTTAGCTTAATCAAAGACAAGTTGGGTGAACCTTTCTATCTGAATGGTAAAGTGCTTCCAGATAGTGATAATTAATGCAGATCATACAGCTGCATGAATCTGAATTTCATTCATTGGCATGAAATATGTAAATATAAGTCAGGAAAAGCCCAATTACTCATATATCCAAAATTCTCAGTTCCCGTGTATCAGCAATACAGGTTACTGATCATCTTCATTTTTCATATCAATGCCTATATAAGAGTACTGGCACCACCAAAAATGTTTTGATTCATTTGGACACTATATAACTTCGGTGTATTAAGAAAATGTCAAGGTGAGGTTGCCTATTTTTAAGTCCTCATCTGAAATTATGAATACGCCTAAGTAACTGCCCAACTAGTCATATATTTAAAATACCGTGCCGAACTAATGCTTTAGTGCTTCATTATAATAGATTTGTAAGAATCTTTTATTTTTGTCCATTTTTGTTTGTATATTGTGTTGTGCATTTAGCATTCATAATGGACCAGATGGATTGGACTAGATGACCTGAGGTCCCTTCCCACCTTAGGTATTCTGTGATTCTGTGATTTATAGTGTCTGTGAAACAACGATGCTCTGGTTCACAGTATATAATGCTACCAAAACAATACCTAGTGCCACCAGGCAACCCAAGAAGAAACAGCTGAGAGCTCCCTAATAAATGAAAGGTGTCGTGCATTACAAAGGGATTTAGTTTCAAGATTGCTATTTCTTTTCCTTTTCCAACCCAGTATGATGTTTTAGTGCTTCTTCTGAGTCTTCAGCACCTCTTTCTTGGTACGGCTTGACAGCATAGATGCAGAGCAACGAACAGACACTGTATAAAAGTTGTTTCTAAAGCTGTGTTCATACCACTCATTTTCTGAATTTTTCTGATGTCTGATTCTGAACCCTGCTAAATCCTGTTTTCATTTCAGATTCTTCTCAGTAAGCTAGTTTCTTTTATTGTCTTTCTCTCATCAGATGTCTTTTTGGGGGAAAAGACCTGTTTGTTAAGCAGGTGAGGGGGAAAAGAAGAATTATTAGTTAAATCTTTTGTGCTGTTTCCCAACAGGGACGAAGAGGCTTAGGTTCAGTCTTTGTTTGGGCATCTGGAAATGGTGGAAGAAGTCGAGATCACTGCTCCTGTGATGGCTACACCAATAGCATCTACACTATCTCCATAAGCAGCACAGCTGAAAGTGGGAAGAAGCCGTGGTATCTGGAAGAATGTGCATCCACACTAGCTACAACGTACAGCAGCGGGGAATCCTACGACAGGAAAATAGTACGGTTTTTAAATTTTTTTTTATGCATGTGGGTTCATGTTTTGCATAGTGACTTTGGGGGGAGGGATAGAGAGACAGCTCATTTATACTAATTAATGGACTGCTTTAGAAAAAAATCATATGTGTGCAAGTGCATTTAACCCCAATGTGTTACTCGGTTGGAGTCACCATACCGCTCTTTGAAACCAGCATGGGTATCTTTGCATAGAATCATAGAATCATAGAATC